CAGCACTGTTCATCCATCCATCTATCCATCCATCCATCCCCATGCCTCCTTGGCACTATCCATTTGTCCATAGATTTTCTCCTCTGCATCCGTGCATCCTCCTCAGAGTTATTCTTTTATCTTCTCTTCTCCTCTTACACCTTTTTTTCTGTTTTATGACAGCACCTTTGGCCTGGCTGACTCCGAGGGCCCCTGCTTCGCTGTCACTGTTTATAACATGGTGCAAAGTTGGGGTGTGCTTATTGGTGATTCAGTGGCCGTGCCTGAACCACACCTCCAGCACCACCACATCCAGTACCAGGGCAAGGTGAGCATAGTACTTTGTATAAGTCAGTGTTTCCTCCTTTTTTGCCCTCTGTGGTGGTAGGATCCATAGCCCTTGCTGTGGAGGAGGTGGGATCTGGGAAACCTAGTAACAGCAGAACAGGCAAGGGTAGAAATAGGACTGTAGCACTTAGGTGACTTAAGGGTTAACACCCTTCCCTTCCCATGCCCCTCTCTTCATTTGGCATTATTCCTTTCCTTGTAACAGTGGTGGGAGGCACAAATGAAGGCAGGACTTCATTATTTCCAGCTGTTAACCAGTCTCCTGCAGGGATCAGGAAGGAAGTTTAATGGCCTAGGATCCTAGATCCTCCTGGATGATGTTATGATCCCTTCTAGCCTTAAACTCTGTGAACCCATGACTTTCTTTGTTCCCTGCATCACTTCCTGTGACATTAGACCTGAGTTAGGGGCCTTTATCACAGCCCAGTGTGGGAATGTGCATTTTCCACATCCCTTTTCTATAGCCACAATGAACATGACTTTAAATTGAGAGAGAGAATTTCAGTTTCTCACGTACTTCATCTGGTACTCCAGTGTCTGTCCCCAAATTAAATGTAAAAGAATTCTGCTAGCTGTGATCACTCAGGATGGAAAACGTTAACCACAAGTCTGTTTCCAGAAAATAGGCACAGGTGCCTGGGGCACCTCATTTCTCACTACTGCATGTCTTCTGATTCTCTCTAGTATTGGAAGGACTGAGAACTCTGCTTTTCTTTTTTTTTTTTCATAGCTGCCCCAGGGCATATGGGCTTGAAACTGCCATTGGTAGGATCCGAATTAGACAGTAGTTTAGCCAAATCTCTTAGCTGAGTTGGAAGATTTCAGCTCAAGTCATAAAAACAGCCACCAGTAGAGAATCAGAATCAACAACCCACCTCTGCATAATTGTTCTCTGTCTCTGTGCCCACAGACCTTTGATTTCCCTGGGATCCGTGTAGAGACACCACTTCTCCTAGTGGTGAACGGCAAGATTCAGGGATCCCACACCCAGGCAGCAGCTACCTTGGCATACCAAGCACAAAGCGAGTGAAATTGTGGGGTGGGGAATGGCGGGGTAGCTCGTCCTGTTGATGGTGCCAAAGCGATTGGATTTGTTGTGCTCTGCTATTTCTGGGTGATGCCCAGAGGCTTGATGTCTCTGAGAGGCCTGTGTAGCCATCAGGATACAGAGAATTTACAACAAGGTAACAGGAGCAGAGAACGGGGCCATCTCCCCTTCAAACTAGGGTAGCTGGGATAGCAGATAAAATCTAGGAGCTCAGAAGGGCACAGTCTTCCCTATGGAGAGCTCAGTCTTCCCTATGGAGAGGGGCTGAGAGAGTTCTTCCCACCTTTCTCAAGACTCTGTGTGCTCCAGATGATCTTGTTCCTCTGACATTGAACCTCATTTGTGTTCTCCCTGTGTGTACCCTGACAAACCACCCCCAATAGCTAATCCTGGGTTTGGAGATGTCCTGAGGGGACTGGGGCAATCCCTTACAAATAAACCCAGATTTCTTGTATCCTCATGGCTGCCCTGCCCCACATTCCCTTTTCTTTCTGCATTCCCCTTTCTGTCTCAGTTCTGCTCCTTTTTGATCCTGTTTGGTCTGTCCTTTCTGAGGCAAGTTTGTAAAAGCCTTGTGACTTTTGGCTACTCGGCTGCTGAGAGTCATAGGGTTGGATTCCTTTGGATCCTTGGAGACTGGGTCTTACCCAGTCCTCTCCTCTTGGTGTATATAGATTAGTTCAGTATTTATTTTGAAAGCCTTGATCTGTTTTATAATTTTATATGCTTTTGGAGTTTTTTTTCTAATGAATAAAATTTGTTTTTGATGCAGCCTGGAGTCAGAGTTACATTTGTTTATCCATCCACAATCCCTGTGCCTCCCCATCACACACCCATCTTTGCCTTTTCCTCTCCTCATTACTCATCTCCCTTTCTTCTTAGACTTTAATTTTCATGATGTGCTTATACCACTAGAGCAGTGAGTCTCAACCAGGGTGCCACAGCAACCTGGAGTGTCCTGAGGTGCTTTTAAGGGTGTTGTGCTGTTAGGCATCTAGCATATTAGCACTATTAAGCATGCAAACAGATGAACCCAGAAATTTCAAATAGAAATCCAAGTGTTGAAAGCATTTTGTCTTGTGGTCTTTCTGACTTCTTTGCGACAGGAGAATTGGGCTCTTATTTTTCTGTAGGCAAAAAAAACAAATGAAAACTAAAAGCTAGCATTCACCAAGCAGTGCCTTGAGTCTGAACAGTACAGACTCACTGATCTAGGGAAGGTAAATTCAGATGTACCTGAGATGTTGGGGGCTTGCTGTGGACATTCTGGGGGCAGCCTGAGATCTGAGGTAAGAGCAGGTCTTGAACTCGCCTCCGAATCAATAGCATACCACCTTCATTGCTCTAGGACTATGCTCCCCCCATTGTTGAACATAGTAGTTTAAATTTGGAGCAACTCCACTGAGCTTAATTAACTTAAAGCAGGGTGAAATGAAAACATAGTTTATTCCAAAACATGGTATAAAACTCCTTTTATTATTTTCCTCCACTGATTTTTGCCAAGATTTCCCATATGTTTCTGTTATCCCCACATATTGTCAACATTCCTTATTACAGATTTCTTCCCCAACTTCTGTTCGCCTTGAATCCAAATACATGCCACGATTTTCAAAGCAGTGCAAGGAAATGAGGTGTCTAATTCCTACAAAAGTCAGGCATCTGTGTACTTTTGAAAACCCCACTAGCCAGCTTTCTGCATCCTTAGCTACTTAAGTTACTTTTAAAAATCTGACTTTCCAGAGCCCATACTTTCTGCCCTAGGATTTCAGGATGGGCAATTCCCAAGTGCTAGATAATGTGATATAATGCTATTGATTTTTGTAAGAATTTTTTGGTTTGGCGGGAGGAGGGGGTCAAATTACCCAAGAACACAAGGGCTAAATGTTTTCAAACCTGAGGGCTTGGAGCAAGGCTTGAACTCTATAGTTCTATCAAGGCATTTCAGGTCCTTTGCTGGCTTGTTCTACTATTCTGAAGTGGTTGGAAATTTTTCCACGTAGAAACATGCCTTCAAGGTTGTAAAGGATTACTCATGGGTAAATAAAACTTTTTCAGGTAAGGTATGGTTACACTTCTGGGCCATTAGAGCTGCCGCTTGCCTGGAAAGTAAGTGGTCTTCTGCTCCTCTAGACAATTAAATCCCTAGAGCAGTTCAGATCATGTGCTCGAGGACTAGGGATGTTCCAGGTTGTAGCCTAAGCACCTTGTGTTGAGTGCCAAAGACTTGAGACTCCATGCAACAGTGAGTCTAAGGGTTTGTCAAGCTGGGGGCCTGCTGCAGGCAGAGCTAAGGCAACAGATCCCCTTAGTGGAGATGTAGTGCATTGCTACAGAAGGTTTTTTTTCCTGCCAGTGTATCTATACTACTTCCCATAACCCAAACTGCCAGAAGACTACTATCAGCAAGGCTGTATCCAGATGGGGGTGGAGAGCAGGGAAGGCAGAGCTGTAGCAGTTACAGGGCTGTTTCTTTTCACATCTTCTAGCCAAGGTAGTTACGTCAGCAAACTTTGTAGTGTAGATCAGCCCTCAGCTCTGTACAATGCCTCTCCTGTGTAACAAGTGGGTTGCTTCTTGGCCAGTTCCACAGTAGAGGATGTGCTTTCATGAACTTGCTACTGACTGGCTGGGGTTGTTTCTGGGGAGGCCAAAGTCTGAAGAGAATGCAAAGATTCAGTAATCCTTTTCACCCATAAACAGCTCTGCTAGCGCCCCTTCTGCTTTCCTGTCCCTTGGTTTCCCACACATAACTCTGCCACTGTCTTTCAGCGTTGACCTTCTGCTTCTTGCTGCCCTACCCGTGTTCTCCCCCAACCACTGAGTTCTGAGGCTACACCTTGCTCTTGACCTGTAGTCCCCACCTGCCATATTCCAGTTCCAGGATCTGAACTTCAGTTCTCAGGAGATGAACTAAGCTTTTGCTAACTTTATTTTGAGCAAGATGTGTAAGGAGTTGCATTTGGCCCCACCTCTGCAAGTAGGAACTGACAGCAAGCTCAGCTCAATTCTTTAATTGGCTCCCCACGGAGCACAAGTTGTTAATAACCAAACTATGAAAAAGTTCAGACATCAGCACAAAATAATTATTCCGAAGAGATTCGCACTGCTTTCTTTGCCTTATTAAGCGGCTCTAACTCCTGCAAGTGAGGGGGGGGGGTAACCCTCGATACTGTCAATCCCCTAAAATTAATGCAGTTCAGACAGTGGGTTTATGGCCCAGTGATCAGAATGCTGGACAGGGAACCAGGATGCTCAATTTGTTTTCTCATCCTTGAGAAGAGAAAGCCAGGGAAGGGAAGGTTGTGGGTTACAATAGAGGGAGATGACCAAGAGTTGTGGCCTCTGGATTCTGATTCCAGTTGTGAGAGGAGTGAGGTCTACTGCATATGAAAGTCTAATGTTACCATGATCTGATCCCAGCTGAATGTTTTCTGGAGTCAATGAGAGCATTACTTGACCAGCTTCAGTTAATGGGATAACAAGGCCCATTTAATACAGGGAAATGCTTGCACAGTTACAGAAAGATGGGGGCCAACACCTCTGCATACACAGTCGATATAAATTTTCCACACGCTGCAATCTCCAACCTGTGTGTCGTTCCCCGCCTCCCCCCAACAAATGCATATACTTATTGAGCGCAGCAGTAACGAATATAGGTACTTCACTTGTGTTCCACTTGTAACCTCAAACAAGCTTTTTTTAATATTGCCCCAAGGCCAGATTGGAGTTGGTGTCCCTTAGAGGCGAAATGGCTTGGAACCCATTCACCACTTCCTGAGCCAGCCAGTCCCCCTGCCCTGAAGCCAGATTCACACCTGTTACCGGTCCCCTAGCACTGTGTGCCTCAAAGCCTCTTTCATCTCCTTATTTCTCAGGCTGTAGATCAATGGGTTGAACAGTGGAGTAACCAACACATACAGAAGGGACACCTCCTTCCCGCTGTCCCCAGAAGCTGCTGGGTTGACATAGGTGACCATGATGGAGCCGTAGAAAAGACCCACCACTGTGAGGTGGGAGGTGCAAGTGGAGAAGGCCTTGCGTCTTCCAGACCCCCGTGGCAGTTTCATTATTGCCCTGAGGACCATCACATAAGAGGTCAAGATGAAAAGGACAGTTGAGAAGATGATAGTGGAAGTCACAGCAAAGAAGCCATGTTCAATCTGGGGAGCAGGGACACAGGAGACAGCCAGCAATGGAGCAGGGTCACAGACATAGTGATCCAGGATATTGGGGCCACAGAAGGGGAGGTGGGAGATGAAGATAATGGGGGTGGCGAACCAGAAGAAGCCACCAACCCAGCAGAAAGCCACCAGGAGCAAGCAGGCCCTCTGTGACATGAGGCTGGGATAGCGCAGGGGGTGGCAGATGGCCAGGTATCTATCTAAAGCCATGGCTGAGAGGGAGAAGCATTCAGCAGCTCCCATGGAGAAGAAGAAGTAGAACTGGAAGAAGCAGGCATGAAAGGAGATTGCATCGCCCTGCGGGGTTGGCAGGTCTGAGATCATCCGTGGCACTGTGGATGTGACATAGCAGATCTCCAGGCAGGAGAAGTTCCCTAGCAGGATATACATGGGCAAGCGCTGGAGGCGGGAGCTCTTGACAACAGCCCACATGATGCACAAGTTGCCTGCTAGTGTCAGGGTGTAGACAGAAGACAGGATAGCACAGAGGAGGATGCGACTGGTGTGGTCCAGGGATGAGAAGCCCAGCAGGATGAACTCAGTTACATAGCTGGTGGCATTGTCTGGATCCATTAGGAGGACACAAGCCTGAAAGAGAATGATTCACAGGACAGCTAGGGTCTGTTCATGGTTTGAATTCTATCTCTGGTTGGTAGGAGTCTGCACTCCTCCTGGTCTTCCACCAGCAACAGAAGTGGAGTCGTGTGCAGTGGTTAAAAGTTTGTGGAAGAACAGGGGGCAGCAGTCTCACATGTGCAGGTAGACTTGCATTCACAATCCGATGGGGTTTCTTGACCAAGGTGCAGTGATTTTCCTGTTGGTACTAGCTTCTCAAAGGCTCCTGGCTAGAGGATCTTCCTCTTCTGTTCAGTGTCAGAACAGTTGCCAAATTTGGGGGAAGGAAGGGACTTTCCTCCCTAGGTCACACTGGGATGGACTGAGGGTTTTTATCTTCCTTGGTTCTGCACAGCACCATCCTTTTCCTAGGATCTTCTTACCTTATGTTACCCAATTACTCCCATGGTGTTGCAGCAGCAAGGCACTGACACTTCCCTTTGCACTGTTGTTTTTTAACTGCTATGCTAAAGGGTGTTTTTTTGCATCAGGTATAGTTCTCTGCAGTTATGGTAAAGGAATCAGAGCACTGATTTGGGAGAATTCTTTGGTTAACAAATAATCTGTAAATTCAGGGACTAGATTTGATGGCCCAGGCAGCTCCTTCCAGTCCTCTGTCTCCATGTTTCTATATTACATTACACAGGCCACATCTACGTTTATTAATCTGCAGTTGTTACTGTGCATTTAATTTAGCACTTGCTTAATGAAATGTGCAGTAACTATAATTACTGCACAGTAGTGCCAGCAGACTTTTTTTTGTGATGCTTACTGTGCAGTAAGCTAATACTACTGTACATTAGCATGGTTTTTGCCCAGCACACTACTGTACAGTCTTATTAGGCTACTGCTCATTAAGCATCTCATGGAGACATGCCCACAGTTTACCTGTCCATGTGGGATGTGAGACTTACTTTGGGATTACCATGTGTGGGATACCCTTCCTACTGGATAAATATCCTGCACTGAAGCTCGACCAGTCATTCGTCTTGGGGAATGGATTTTGTTGGCTTCCCACAGCTAGATCCCCTCCTCTGTGCTAGTCACAACAGATTATAGAGCAGTGAGTCTCAATCAGAGTGCCACAGCACCTTGATCTTTTTGAAGGTGCCACACAACATTAGTATTGTTTGGTGTACAAACTGGGTTCATCTTGTAAATCATGAGATTTCAAATAGAAATCCATAGTTGTGGTCTTTCTGAGTTCTTTGCAACAGAAAAAGCTGCCCTATTATTTTCCTGTAGTCAAAACAGAGAGTGAAAACTCAGAGTTGGTATTTTCCAAGGGGTGCCTTGAGTCTACCTAGGGGTGCCTTGAGTCTAAAAAGGTTCAGAACCACTGTTCTAGAGGCACCGAGGGAACTGGTGGATGTCTTTCTTTCTCTGCCCTTTGGATCTAAAACAAAATTGACCAGATAGTTCTGGCATCACTTCTAGGCAAAGCAAAGCTGGCTAGAACTGGGATTTTCAAAGTCACTTCAGTTGCTCAAGTATTTTTGAAATGCTTCATAGGCATCTCTATATCAGTGGTCTCCAACCTTTTTATGGTGACAATCCCTTTTTGCAAGTAAAGGGCACCCCAGGATCGACCGTGCCCCCTGCCCCTTCCCCACGCACCCCTGGATCACAGAGTGCCCTAGACCTGGCCAGGCCAGATCCCACTTCTGTGCCACGGCTGCACTGAGCCGCACCCACCCAGCAGCCAGAGGATCATGGTGTCAGGCCTCAGCACAGCCGGGTCTGGAAGTCTGTGTCCAGGGTCATGGGGGGAAGAGATGCTCCCACTGCTGGCCACAGCCTGGTGGAGGCCCCAGGGGCCTGTGGCCCCCCCCCCCCCATATTTGGGATGAGGTGGCTGCTGCTGCAGGCTGCCCACTGTGCCCCCAACACAGGGTGGGGGGGCATGGGCCCCCATAGCCTCCACCAGCCTGCACTCAGTGATGGAAGCCCCCCCGCCTCCCCACACCCCTGGATGGGTGGATCTTGCCAGACCCAGCTGGGCTGAGGCCGCTCCTATGAGAGTCCCCGCTGCTGAGCTGAGCCATGCCTACACATGGCCAGCTGCAGCGGGACTCGAGGTGCAGCAGCAGCCTCCATCACCTCTGCAGAGATGGGGAGGGAGCCCCCCACACTTCTGGAGGAGCCCCTCCCGGGCTCCAATCCTCCCACCACCCAGCCAGGCTGGGACCCCACTTACCTTCCCCTGCTCCTGGCTGGGCTGCATAGTCATCTGCTTACCGCGGGGGCCTTGATCTGGCCCCCACCCCTTCCCACAGATTGACCTGCTGGGGCTGGAGGTGATGGGTGTGTATATGCCCAGCTGTCCCGCCCCCCAGCCCAGGATCTACCAAGAGAGGCTCCAGGATCTACCTGTAGATCAGGATCCCCAGGTTGGTGACCACTGCTCTATGTTATTAAATGCTTACACTAAGGCCTTACTAGACGGGGAACTGACAACTGGGAAACATGGCAGAGAAGCTCCATATAAGTGCTTCAAGGACACCCTGAAGAGGTCCTTTTCTGCCTGTGGTATTGAGCACAAACTATGGGAAACACATGCTGCAGATCATGGTGCCTGGAGGCTCCAAATCAAAAAGGCAACAGCCCTCTTTGAATGTCAGCACAGAGCCAGCATCGAGCAGAAGGAGGAAAGATGCAACCTGATCTAGCAGCAATTAGCCATGCACATGTAACTGTTGTGGGAGGATTTGCTTCTGCACCTGGACTGATTAGTGTAACAGGGGCTCTCAGAGCCAATCTGTCATTGGCCTGCCCACCTGTTTCTGGGCCAACCACCCACCTCCTAACCTGCCACACCTTGTTGTTTCTTAACTGGTTCTTATTAAGGCAGGATGCTGCCCATTCTTGCCCCAATGCCAGGGGGCGCTATCTGCAGCTCTGTTCCTCCTCTACACCACAGCCCGTGCCTCGCAGATGGCATCCACGTGACAATGCTCCCAGCCTACAGCCAAACCAAGCTTAGGCCTCGTTGTCAGGCCTCAGAAAGACACATTCATACTGCCCTCCTCTCACTAGGGCCTCTCACTCCACCCCTTCTTACAGGTTCGCTTTCATGCATTGACAACTTGTACCGCCTTGCTCCCACTTGGAGCGGGAGCCTTAGGCCATGCCTTTGGCCTTAGCTCATACCTTGGGTGGCAGATGGACTGTGTTTTGGGTCTCTTTCACCAGGGTAGTGGCCAGCCAATTACTCAGCCAGGACCAAGCTTGCCCTGGCCCCTCCCAAGACAACTCTATACACTCACACACGCACACTGGGGCTCCACATCTCCACCTCCCTCACTGGGGCCACAGGGCTTCCCTCCTCGGTGGGAGCTCAGGTGGCCATAGCTATGCCTGGCCTCATCTGGGTCTTACACCCTCCTTGGGCTCAGGTGGACATAGCAAGGCCTGGCCCCCTTGTACCCACAGTGTTGGGGCTAGGGGTTAAGGCACCCCAACCCACCTTTCACCACTGGGAGCCCCACTAGGCCACCCACTCCCAGCAGGGTGCAGTTTTAGGTCATGCCCAGGACCAGGAGCCCCCAAACCACCCCCTTAAACTGCTGTCTTTACCTCCCAGATGTTGCATACAGCCTTGCAGCTAGGCAATGTTTCTGCCTAGCCTGCAAGTAGTGAACTGCTCTGTTTATATAGGTGGACAGAGTTCGAAAATGGCCACTGCAATCAAGCACCTGCTGGCTGCTTGGCTCAGCCCTTAAAGTGGCAGGCACCAACAGTGACCTGCCACAATTAGACACCAGCAGGCTTGCAACTGGGGTGGGCAGTTACTTTTCTTTGTCTGTGAAGAACTGCCAAGAAGAAGAAGAAGGTTTGAAAAATCTGGTCCTAGCTCTCTTTAAAATTGGATTTAGACCCGCAAATAACTTACAAAATTACACCATTTTAACCTTGATATTTATAACTGATGAATGAAACAGAACCGGACCAAGAAAACTTTTAAAAACTCCTTACGCTGAATTCAGACAAATTCAGGAATGGCATCATTCATCGCTGAAGGAAGATTCATGGTGTCTGGATTTGCCTGTATGTTGAATTCTTGATATGATTAAATTAAAAGATAAATAGATATATATGGACTGGACTGAACTGAACATAGAGATTCAATAGCAATTGCTGCATTTTAGTGTTTTTGTTATTAATTTATCATTACTGCAATAAGTACCTAGGAGCCTAGACCAGCAACGCATTTTGCTGGATGCTGCACAGACCTACACCTGAAAGTTATTACCCCTAAAGTTATCCCATTATAATCTTATTTGAGATTGCAAAATATTATTTTTATTGTTTTGATTCAAGTGATATAGAGCTAAAATGATTCTATTTCCAAGTACCATTAAAATACTAACTCAAGTATCTACGTTGTATTTCTAGCATTGCTTCACTTGTTCCATTAATATTTATATATGCTGTTAAATTCTGGATTATTTAAAACATCTCAGTTTAGGATTTATTGTAATGATTTCCAGATTTTTTAATATATTGAAAGAATGGCTATATATTAATCTCTAATCTGATCAAAGCAAATGAATGTCTTTGTCAATTATTATTATAAATATAGTAAATTCAGAATTATATGTTGCCTGAATATCATGGGCACAAGAAAATATTACATGTTCATGTTTTGTGTTCAGAGATCATTAAAATATTAGAATAGTGATATATTTAGATATGGCTAAATATTAAGCTTAACTTTCTATAAAAGTTTAGATTTAATTAAAATATTATTTGAAGAACTTCATTTTAGGTTTGGTTATCAGCATATATGTGTTTTGATATATAATGTTAACCTGCAGATGTGATAAAATATTGTGTAACATATGTATATAATACAGATCTCTAGATTTGGTATACCTGCACACATAAATGAATACTTTGGCACCTTTGAAAGTGACCGCAGAAGCAAAAGCAGACAACTAATGGGAATAAGTGTATGAGAATGGGAGCTGCCACATCTGACGTGAATGCAACACTCAAGGAGATTCCTGCTTCCCCCTTGAAGACAGAGCTTGATCAGTTTATGAAGGGGATGATATTTTGTGCTTGCCTGTGATATCAGGCTCTAGACTTGATGATCCAGGAGGTAGGTGTTTCCAGGATCAGGTCCTGACTCTTTAGAATTTACTCTTTAAAAATCACAGAATCCTAGAAGAGTAGGGTTGGAAAGGATCTCAGGAGGTCAACCAGTCCAACCCCCTGCTGAAAGTTTTATAGAAACTATGAAACTATGAAAGCAAGATGGTCCATGGCTAAACCATCCCAGTTGAGTGTTTGTTTTGAGATTTCACAACCTCTCTTGGTCGATTGTTCCAATGCTTCATTAATCTCATAGTAAGGCATTTCTTCCTAATATCCAACCTAAATTACCACTGCTGAGACTTAGGTCTATTGCTCCTTTTCCTATCCCCTGTAGCCAGGAAAACAG